AGTGGGGCGAAGCATTCGTCTGTTCATTCGTCTTGCTACCGTCCATCCATGCGTCCGCTGTGTGACCGTCCATGCGTACATCCGCCCGTCCGTGCGTGCGTCTGTTCATGCGTCCGTCCCTGCGTTCGTCCATGCATCCGCCCCTGCGTTCGTTCATGCGTCGATCCACGCATCTCTCTGTGTGTCCGTTCGTCCATCTATTCAACACTCGAAGTACCACCATCTCGCATCTTTTCACCATATATCCCCATATAGAAGCACGCCATCCAGCGGACATTCCAAGGAATAAACGAGAGATGGCACACGCACACTTTCTTAGGCCTACGCTTCGGTCTACTTCCCACCTTTAACCACCTCGAGTTCATGGTATTGTTAAGGCGTTATTAGCCAGCAACGAGCGAGAATATACAATGGCGACAGTCACAGCCAAGCACGGGCTCTCAGCGCGAGCGGCGTCCTTGTTGGGTAGCCCCACTAGAAGGTACTCAAGAGTTCGACCCATTTCATAGTTCGGAGGCTTCGCTACAATTACCCCGGGGTCGAAGAGGGAGCCGCCTGGCGACCAAACAGCTTGTTATTATGAGCGGGTCATAATAAGCCTTCAGGCGCTCTTTGTAGCTGGGTTTACTCTTGCTAAACTTGAAGCCATGTATTCGGACGCTAATAGTATGGTTTGTGGTGCTTTGAGAGCCGAAACAACGATAAGCGCTTCATAATTTTTCACGGCATAGTGTTCAACGTGCCCTAACATAAGCATATTACACCAGTCGCCGGCATATCGCCTCCATCGAAATTCCTATACCACTACGTGAACTGGTTGAACAATAGACTGATATCAATTATAATTGTGACAGAACCATATATTAGTGCACGCTACAAGTACAAACTTCTTATACTAGCCACCAACTTTAACGAATATTATGGATCATAGGAACTAGCGTCACTCATTCGTTATGATTTACTTCGTAGAAATGACTGAATTATATGCCATGAATTGAACATTCTTCCACATGTTTAACAGGAAAACCTTTAAGCTGCTACAAGAAATGATGGCAATGCGCTCAAATTCAGGCAAGAATGAAGTTTCGCAACTACAAATGACAAGCCAGCTCGATATTGCAACGATAAAATATCCGATTTTCTTATTCTAAATTACTGATAGTCAACAAGCTTAATATTTAGGAACCACAAATTACTTTTAAGCTGGCCATATGCAACACGCATGCGACTGACGTACTTTTGAGGGTCTATTAGCGTACACACGTGAATTAAGCGGTGTCGGTGACACAGTACGCCAATCATGCCACCACCGAGAAACCAACAATGCTTAGAAGCTTCGCTTAAAATGCTTTTCCCCATGAGCATTCTAAAGAGCTCTGCGAATGCCGAAGAAATCTAGGTATGCGAACTCATACCGATGCGCTCGAAAGCAGCGCAGGGGAGAAGGGTGCAAGCTACGATACACTTCTTTGTTTTCGCACCCAAAAAACAACTCCCAAAGAACAAATTCTGACAGCAAGCTTCACTCGTCAGCCACTTTCACTGTCGGATGGCTTCATTTTGTCCCTAACGCCAATACTCTAACCATCTACACACCATCTGCAATCATTTTTTTCTGGTTTAGGTTGTGTTTGCGAACATTCATATCTTTAAACACACCACGAGGAATGTGGTGCAGCGACTCGAAGCACTCGGTTATGCTCTAAGAGGCGGTGAGTTCGCACTGGATCGGATTGTCAATATCTTGCGGGAGTGTTTTGAGTGCGTCATCCATATTCGCACCAGAGATAAAATTGAGGGGTTGGTTGGAATATATTAGGCTATATCGACCAACTTGGAAACCTCGTATGTGTGCACTCATGTGCTGGTACAATCTCCCAGTATGAGGAGCGTCGGACGGTCGCGAGCCCAGCTGATCGACTGGAAGTTACTATTCCGTGAGGAATAGATGTGAGTATGTGGAACCATAAAGCATGCAGGAAAGACACTAAATCATATCACAGAAAACAGTCCCTCACTGATATTACATTGGAGTTTACGCTTAATACTTATCTAGGCCTACACGAATTCTTTTTATAATAATTTGTATATGTTCTTGGCATGACTAGTGCTCACCTAAAACTGAAAAATATAGTATATTGTCATTATTATAAAAGCAATACAGAAAAAACTACATTAAACGCAGATGAATGGTGTGCAGATCAATGTTCAACAAACAGGGTTATGCGTGATATCCAGGCACCCAAGAAGGAGTGAGAGGATTAAAGCACGAAATGGGTGGTGCCTGAGTGCACAGTATGGGCTACCTAGAGACCATTGACTTGTTGCATCATCGCTGAATAGAAACACAGGCAATATGTCATAACATAATCTACATCAGTATCAAGTAATGGCATGCCCGTTAGCGACACGATTGAATGCCAGTGGAGACGTTGCTTGAAAATGCTGCTTCCGCTATTTTTCACTTTTCTTTACCGCAGTACACTGTATCTTTCTCGGAGCATCAAACATTTTTACCAGACTCAAGCCAATTTTAGTCACACGTAAAGCCCTCGTTGTACTGTGTATATTGTGAAGCATTCACAACAATTTGTGACAATATTTAGCGACATGTTGTCAAAGCATGTTTCATACCATAAAGAGAACCCAATACCGTCCAAAACTGAACAAAATTACCATATATTATGTAAAAACGTGAGTGATCTTTACATCGTTGGAAACCCTATAACACGAAAGCAAGGTGTGTCTTCACAGAGGTATGGCTTACTGTAAAGTGATATCTAAGCGCTCGTACAATGCCTGTGGGCCTTCGGCAGCCATTTCTTCGTTTGTCCTGGGTGCACCCACGTTTGCGCCAACTGTACATTTGCACAGCGATTACTACCGACCATGATCATGATTCAAATGTTGTGATAGCTTAAGAATTCAACATATACTTTGACCCACCATACCAGGAATCTTATGCAAAGATGGCATCGTCAAGCACATAGAAAACAATTGTACTCAATATAGTCTTCTTCAAAGTGCCGTCACTACAGGAAAGAAACGGCCGGGTGTGTGCTCCCGAGTAATACAATCAACCAAGTAATAGTGTGACCTAGTGCGCCTGTCAAACTGAAGGAGGTAACGTCATTAGGTTCAAATGCCATTCGGTGCAACGAATGTTCTTCCATCTGTGGTGGTAAAACAAAAGAAAAAGTAATGCCATACATCTGGGATGTCCATGTGGATAACTCAGAAAATAAATGGCCAGAAAATTTGAGGCAGGTAAAGGTAGTGTGGTGAAAAAAGGAAGGTATTTATTTTAAAAGACATGTGCGAAGTCGCTTCAAGCATAATTGCTTTATATTGCAAAATATATGACCACTATAAGTTAAGAAGACGCCTAGCCAGTTGCCTTAGCCGATAAAAGGAACAAAAGCAACGGAGCTCACATGACAAAACCACAAAACGGCGATGCTAAGCTGCAGCAAGTAATTCATTTAGTTGCTTCGTTCTCGGCGTTGCGAGGAATGTAAATAATCCAGAAGTAGACACATAATTGTGAGATAAAAAAAGTTACAGATTTGCCGCAAAGGTGAAGCAATGAACGCGATCACAACAATTTAGAAGGTCATGCGCAGAATGGCAAGCAGATCGAAACGTGCGCCGCGTTTCTCGAGCACAAATGACACACGAAACGCACTCACCGGTTACAAGGTTGTCGGTGCCGATGTACGACGAAGAGGGCATCATCGAGTTAGTACGTGAGATGTACGGCTTCGTCCGTCTAACGAGGTATCCGAGCGAGAGCGCTTGCTTCCTCAAGGACGACGAGGCCAGGTAATGACCTATGGGGATCAGGGCGTGTTGTTGAAAAAGTTGGTACATCGTAATAACTAAGATAGTGCCAGTGAAAAAAATTAAGAAATAATTAACGATAAGACACATGCGTACGCGTAAGTCCAGACACTGGTACTTGTCTCCAATGAGCTTCGCGTGGGAAGTGCCTCGCGCCACTCCTGCATTTTGGGGGACGATTAGTCGAAAAGGTTCAGCGTTAGTTATCTGACTTCAGAGATACCTTGCACTTCTTTTCAGTGGTGAAGAATATTAATCCATCATTTTTAAAAGGAAGCGCTTGAAGTAAAATTGGAGATGGTGGAGGGGTTCTGCCTCTCTTGTTTTTAGTAGGTACTATCATTACATGAACACGGTCACATCATAAATACTGCTAATTTGTGCTCCCAGTGGTTGCGCTAATTTGTTCTAATCGGTGATATGAGGTGAACGAAAGGCACTGAAGAGAGGGGTTGTGGTTGCCGGCGCATGCTTTAGGGAGAGGGCAATCTCCCCTTTTTCTTATTTTTGCATCCGCCATTCCGAGATCGTGGCTGCTGGCGATGAGGGTGACGGTGCGCGCACTCGTGGTATGATGAGCGAATCCGTAAAAAGTGGTTCAGTCTGGTTACCGAGGGCGCAGGCCAGCTCCGGCCGCCTCGCGCGGCACGGCAAGGACAATATTTTGAAGCCATGCCAGCCAGTGCTCCACTGGTGCCACCAAGAACCACTAACTGACGGAGAGAGAGAGAGTAGTAGTAGTA